ATAAATTTATAATTATAATTTAGGATCAACAGATGGCAAACCTTTAGAAGGTTTGTATTTAACCTTAAAATACAATTTTTAAAAATTGGTTATTTCTAATACTTTCTTTTTTGTGACCTCAAGGGGAAAATATAATTCTTATAAAAAAGAGTTCAAATGATTTACAGAATACAAAAAGTGAATAGAGATGATGGATGAATTAAAGGAAAGGATATTGCTCCATAGATTATTTGGAAATTTAAAAAGGGAAGTTACAACTGCTGATTTTGTGTTAAACTGATCTGCTTTGTTCAGGATATCTTATTTACCAAAAAATGATTTTATCTCAGCCTCACATCTCAGTAAATTCCTGAGATAAACTTTTGTCCCTGGTGCCTTTGGTAATTGGGAGACCTCTAGGTTTAGCATTCTCATCCACTCGCCCCAATTTAAATAGTCCTCCCCAGGGCCATTCAGGCAAGGTAGATGAAAACTTGCTCAAGAGTTGGAATCCAATTTAAGCTACCGAAATTCACTGCTCAATAGAGAATTTTCCCCAGAAGTAACTAGGGCTTTTGGATATAATAGTGGCTTTTCAAAGTAGAACGTAAAGTATTTCCGAGATAAGGAGACAGGACAGAGCTATGAGGAATGTCCTTTGTTTAGGGAGTAGGCCCTTAGCAGTACCTCTTAGGTATGAACTGGTTAACTGGCACCTTCTGTTTCTCTGAAGTTTCCAGAACAAACTGCCAATGCAATTTGGATTTTCAGAGTAGATTTTTTTGTTGTTGTCGTTACTTTTTTTTTTTTTCTTGGAGACAGTCTCACTCTGTCATCCAGGTTGGAGTGCTGGAGTGCAGTGGTGCCATCTCGGCTCACTGCAACCTCCCCCTCCTATGTTCAAGTGATTCTCTTGCCTCAGTCTCCCGAGTAGCTGGGACTTTAGGCGTGCACCAGCATGCCCAGCTAATTTTTGTATTTTTTTAGAGATGGGGTTGGTTTCTTTTATTGAGATGAAGTTTCACTTTGTCGCCCAGGCTGCAGTGCAGTGGCATGATCTTGGCTCACTAAAACCTCCACCTACCGGGTTCAAGTGATTCTTCTGCCTCAGCCTCCTGAGTAGCTGGGACTACAGGCACCTACAGGTGAACCCCACCATGCCTGACTAATTTGTGTAGTTTTATTAGAGACAGGGTTTCGCCATGTTGGCCAGGTTGGTCTTGAACTCCTGACCTCAGGTGATCTACCCACCTCAGCCTCCCCAAGTGCTGGGATTACAGATGTGAGACACCATACCTGCCTTAGAAGACATTTTCTATTGGAAAGAGAAAACACGATTAGCAACCTATTAGTGTTTAATACTTAATGTCTTCTTTAGTAATAAACTAAGTGTAGAACAAAGTGCTTCCTGGCTGCCTAGTCATTGATTCATTCGGTTCCACATTTTCTTAATGCCCAACCACCAAGTGTCTCTTGTATGCCAAGTTCTATGCTGATTATCAGTAATTGAGTAAGAGGGGGTCTAGATCTTAAGTATTGCTTAAGATGAAAGCCTCTAGGTTAACAAACTTAACACAATGTTTCACTACTAAACAGACCAAATACAAAATCTTGTTATTGGTGCCCAGAGAGAATTGAAATTCAAGTTTTCTCTCTCTCCTTTTCTCACTCACCACAATAAGTCAGTTGCGTCAAGTCCTGTAGCTCTTTACTGAGCCATCTTCTCACCTGTCCCCTTGTTTCATTTGTCACACCCTAAATAAAGATTGTACTGGCTTTTTTTTTTTCCTGGATTTACAGTGTTAATACATTGTCAAGATTTACCTCTTCATGTAGATTCCCTGGGGAAAATTACCTTTCCTCCTTCCCTTAAATTCTTCAGAGAGGTTAGAAAGCCATTAGTAACATTCTGGTATGTGGACAAAGTTTACCCATTATGTATGGATGTTTTACTCTTTTTATTTTTCTGACAATAATCTCTTAAGGAGGTGTGGTTATAGAATAGCCAGCTGTTATAAGTACTGTTTTTCTGGCCTTGGAACTTTTTTAAAGCTGTTTCTTAGTTTGCTCCTCTCAAAATTCGGAATAAGGATAAAACCTATTTCTAAGATTGTTGGATTAAATGAATTAACATACTGGAAGCTCATGAAATTTGCCTGGCACACAGTAGTGCCTAATAAACCATTTCTCTTATTTAGCCTGTTGTCTGAATTCAGAATCTACACTTGCTGAGCCAGATTCTTTTCATTTCAAGGTAAGCAAAAGCATGCAAGGAAGAGGAGGCAGGAAGAAATTAAGCCCTAGGCCAAGGTCACACACCGATTGGGAGCTGGAATCAAAGACAATTTGGCCTGGGAATGAAAAGGATTCCAAGGCCCATATAAAGCAGTTCCAACCTTAAGATCCAAATTCTCGGACATACAGGAAATGCTAGGGGGAAAAATCCGGTCCTCTCAGCCCAAGAGCCATATGAAACCAGACCTTCCTCAAATCTGATGACTCTCAGCCCAACTGCCCATTAGAATCGTTGTAATTTAAAAATATCCTCGGAAAATTCTAACATGTGGCTATCAAAGGTGATCACTTGCTTTTATGCCACTTTGTTTTCTCCCAAACGGGACATCCAACCCTTTTCCTTTGAGGGTAGTTGTAGGGAAAGGAGTGGGTGGAAGGAGGAAAGAGCGGAAAAGGCTGGACCCGCCCCAAGCTGGTGTCAGTATCTGGGAAGTGGAAGGAGCGTCAGCAGTAAACAGCCTCTGCTTGGATTATTATCTCCTGCCCACACACTCAGATTTGAAGACTCGAAACAAAAAATGCAAAACGTTTCAGTGGAATTCCAGAAGCGTTCGACTAAACGACTGGGGTCTGTTTGGCCAGTCTGAGGAGCTGGGCGCTGAGGCGTAGGCAAGACTCAGCCCGCCTAGACTTCCCTGCCCAGTTAATTCCGATCAAAGCAGAAACCGGCCGGGCGCGGTGGCTCACGCCTGTAATTCCAGCACTTTGGGAGGCAGAGGCCGGCGGATCACCTGAAGTCAGGAGACCAGCCCGGCTAACATGGCGAAACTCCGTTTCTACTAGTGGCGGGCGTCTGTAATCCCATCTACTAGGCAGGCTGAGGCTGAGGCAGGAGAGTCGTCTGAAACCGTGAGGCGGAGTTTGCATGCCGTGAGCCAAGATCGCGCCACTGCACTCCAGCTTGGGCAACAAGAGCAAAACTCCATTTCAAAAAAGCAAACAGATTCCAAAAAGCGCAGAAACCGAGATCCGGAAGAAAACCTCGGCGAGACTCAGAATCCAGGAAAACAGGTCCCTAGAAATTTGCCCACGGTCCCAGATCTCCATTTCTTGTGGGTGGGGCAGCTGTTACCAGACAGAAGCAAAGGTTTTCTTTTTTGGAGACGGTGTCTCACTCTGTTGCCCAGGCTGGATGACAGTGGCACGGTCTCGGCTTACTGCAACCTCCCCCTCCCTCCCACCTCAAGCGACTGTCCTGAGTCAGACTCAAGAGTAGCTGCAATTGAAAGGTATGTGCCACCACGCCCGACTATTTTTTGTAATTTTTTTTAGAGACGAGTTTCATCATGTTGGCCAGGCTAGCGTCGAACTCGTGACCTCAGGTGATCCGCGCCCCTCGGCCTCCCAAAGTGCTAGGATTAGAGAGGTGAGCAGAAAGCAAAGGTTTTTGAGTGGCCACAGGCCCCAGTCTCCTTTTCTGGCTGTGCTGGAAACCTAGACGCTTGAGTCTCTTAAAATAAAACAGCACGTTGCGTGTCAGGCATCGTTCTAGAGTAGAGACATTAGTCTGTTTTTTAGACACCTTTCAACTTCCTGGTTAACTTTTAGACAGTATACTTTGCACTTTAGCAGGAATGGAACCTAGAAGTTTAACAGAATTAAGAAAATGAGGCTGCCTACAGCCTAAATTGAGAACAAAATAGAAGGGGGACTAGTCGGAGGGCCGAACGAGGTTACCGTCACGCTACAGTTTTGCCTTGAATTTACATTTTAAAAGCAATCAGTATTTAGATCACCAGGTATCCCTGGCATGTAAACTAATTAGGCACCAACTATGGTCGATCTTACAAAACACTAGACTAGTTAGTTAGAATATAATGATAGCACATGCGAACATTAGATCCTAACTGACCTAATAGACCAACCTTTAGTAACACCGTTCCCCAAAAAACTGGAAAGCAAGAATACACGTTGCTCCAGATTGAAATAAAATTAACTTACCTTAGTGCTTTTTTTTTCCTCGTACGTACAAGCAGTGAGGTTAGCTCTTCCTCTGAAACGGTAGGGGGGCTCTGAAAAGAGCCTTTGGGTTTGATAGCGTTTCCGGAAGCTCAGATGCCTGTCAAATCACTTGCCCTTGGCCTTGTGGTGACTCTCGGTTTTCTTAGGCAAAAGCACGGCCTGGATGTTAGGAAGGACGCCGCCCTGAGCAATTGTCACCCGGCCTAGCAGCTTGTTGAGCTCCTCGTCGTTACGGATGGCCAGCTGCAAGTGACGCGGGATGATGCGGGTCTTCTTGTTGTCGCGAGCCGCGTTGCCGGCCAGCTCCAGGATCTCGGCAGTCAGGTACTCCAACACCGCCGCCAGGTACACCGGCGCGCCTGCCCCGACCCGCTCTGCGTAATTGCCTTTGCGAAGCAGGCGGTGCACTCGGCCCACCGGGAACTGGAGACCAGCACGAGAAGACCGGGATTTCGCTTTGGCGCGAGCTTTGCCTCCCTGCTTACCGCGTCCAGACATCTCAATAACACAAAACAGCACCAAAACAAGCACTCCAAGCTCAGGAGAAAACAAACAAAATCGAGAAATGTGTAAAACATGGCTGCTTTTATAGGTAGTTGCTGGGGAGTAAATCCGACTTTTCGATTGGTTGGTAGCAAATACTAGTCAGGTAGCCAATAGAAAAGCTGCACTTTCATACCTCATTTGCATAGCTCGGCCCACGGATGACAACTCTGCAGTTTGTCTTCCAATTAACTAAGAGGTACTCTCCATCCCTCATTAGCATAAAAGCCCTATAAGTAGCAGAAATCCGTTGTTTACTTCCGACACATTTCTGGTGTTAAAGATGCCTGAGCCAGCCAAGTCTGCTCCCGCCCCGAAGAAGGGCTCCAAGAAGGCGGTGACCAAGGCGCAGAAAAAAGATGGGAAAAAGCGCAAGCGCAGCCGCAAGGAGAGCTACTCTGTGTATGTGTACAAGGTGCTGAAGCAGGTCCACCCCGACACCGGCATCTCTTCCAAGGCGATGGGGATCATGAATTCTTTCGTTAACGACATATTTGAGCGTATCGCGGGGGAGGCTTCCCGCCTGGCGCATTACAACAAGCGCTCGACCATCACCTCCAGGGAGATACAGACTGCCGTGCGCCTGCTCCTTCCCGGAGAGCTGGCCAAGCACGCCGTGTCGGAGGGCACCAAGGCCGTCACCAAATACACCAGCTCCAAGTAAACTTTTCAAGTAAGCGTCTTAACACTTAACCCCAAAGGCTCTTTTAAGAGCCACCCACATACCCACTAAAAGAGCTGTGGCCAGACGCCAAATTTTTATTTGGCGGCGGAAGAGTATTAGGGATTGGAGAAGGGTGGAGACAAGTACTGCAACTTAGGGACAAAGGGGCCTGAGCCTGGAAGAAACCAGCCACTAAAAATGGGTTTGGGGTCAATTCGTTGCGCTTAAATTTAAAATGGAGACAAGCGGCCATTTTGCTAACCCCGCGTTCCCGGAAGAAACCTCAGGCTCGCGTGGGTTTCGGACCCAGTTGTCTGTCTGTCCCTGTTTACGTCGCCTGGATCAACGGCTGCCGTAAAGTCATAATTTCGCCATCAGTTTCTAGCCAATAGGCTGTACTGTCATTTTTAATATTAACCAATCGAGAGAAAGCTGGTTTGAAGCCCTTATTTACATAGCGGACCGGAGTGGAAACCTGGGGAGTAACTGGCTAAGGAAGGACACCCCCTCTGTTTTCGTGGCGCACACCTTCGTAATATACTGAAGGTTGTGTCTCCTTGGTTTCCAACTGCCCCGGTAATAAAGTCCTTTAACATAATACGTGTCGGTTTTGATAAGAGTAAGGCAGTAAGAACCTAAAGATGTAAGCACCGCGCCAGATGTTGCTTCATACATTTTATTCTATTCAACTGGTTTATTCAAGATTCAAACCAAATTTTACTTGAATCCCAGTGCTCAGCCATAAATGGTGTGTTGCCTGATTGAAACTTAAAATCTCTGTAGGGGGCTTGTAACATGCAGAAAAGGTTGAAAGTTGCTTTAGAAGAAGCCAACTCTAACTTGGGTAAATTGACAAGCATTCGAACACTGAACTGAAGGCCAGTAAGGACTAGGCGCTGGTTGGGAGAATGAAGAGGAGACGCCATTAAACTTAGCACATACACTGTGTCTCCTAGACCTTCCCTTCCTAGACAACTGCAGGCCGCTTTATGGCCTGGGAAATACCACATTCCCTTAAGTATTTTACTCATGGTCTTTTCCAGGCAAAGATTTTAAGATGAAAGTTTAGAAGTAGTTTACCTATCTTTTTATTCAAGTCTAGAACACGTTTGTAGCACCTTGAAGTTTGCTTTCTCCATTAAAAACTGGGAATATACAATAAATAAAATTAGTGTTAAAGCAGATTTTTACAAATTTAAATACCGTGTAATTTAGGTTAGAAAGTTATTTAACATAAGGACTGTGTGATCTTAAATCTGCAATTTCTTTCACAACTGGAAAATAAACTAAGGCCTCTCTTTGGTGTCAGACAAGGTCTTATAGTTGAACCCTGCTGTGCAATCACAGGCTGCCTTGCCTAGATAACTTATCTGAGAAATTCTGATGAGAAATGAAATTTCCAGAGCCCCTCACAAGTAAATTTTCTTCTTCTTCTTCTTTTTTTTTTTTTTGAGACGGAGTTTCGCTCTTATTGCCCAGGTTGGAGTGCAATGGCGCGATCTTGGCTCACAGCAACCTCCACCTCCCGTGTTCAAGCCATTCTCCTGCCTCAGCCTCCGGAGTAGCTGGGATTACAGGCATGCGCCACCACACCGGGCTAATTTTGTATTTTTACTAGAGACGAGGTTTCTCCATGTTGGTCAGGCTGGTCTCGAACTCAGGACATCAGGTGATCTGCCCACCTTGGCCTCCGGAAGTGCTGGGATTACAGGTGTGAGTCCCCGCGCCGGACCTAAATTTATTTTTTTATGCCTCTAATGGACCTGGTCAAAGACCTATTCACATTCAGACTGACCTCTCTTCTACCTGTCAACTAACTAATCAGTGTAACCAAAATCTGCAAGCAAAATTCAGTATTCCCAAGCTGATTCTTTCCCCGCCTTTTCCCCTTTCTCTTACGTAAATTATGTTTTTGCCTGTGTTAGATGAAGTAATTCTATTGCTTGTTCTCTCTTCTGTACAAGTACACAGTAAGCAAATCATTAACTTCTTGGTCATTTATTTCTGAATTTTCCACCAAGACAGTGTTTATGTGAGTCATACAATAAGAACCAACAGAAATGTGTGTCGTGGAAACATCTTGTCTAGCCCTGAACCCTTTGAGTTTTCTGTTCACATTCCTTTGGCTTTTGCATCCTGAAAGTTTATCGTCCGCGATAAACTTTGGTTATTCTATTTGAACTTGGCTGATTGGTTGCATATTGGTAGCAGTAGTAGAATTTGAATTATGGTTTTCTGGTCACATCATTAAGTGATTAGTCAGTGGAGAGGACAGGAAATCTGGTTTATTTATTAACCTTTTTTTGGGGTGTTTTTGTTTGAAGATGTCGATATTCTCTCTGAGAACACAAGGTTAGAGAGTTGGTGTTTTTCTTTCTGGCTTTATATGGGATTTGATGTTTTGTGCTTGTATGCCTCTTTCTACCTTCGAAAACTTGTCTTTTTTGAGTCCAAATAGTTGTCGATATCTGCAAAACCAGTATTCCTGTGTTAAGATGATATGAATATGAAATAGCTGCCCTGTTGTAACTTTTGACTTTAAGAAAGTGTTAAGACTAACAGGAGACAAAAAGGAAATCAAGGAAACCAAATGTCTGGTCTCAGTAACTGCTATGCCAAAGGCTCTACAGCTTATTATTAATTTTACTAATTTCACATTATTGCCCCTTCAGGTTCTTTAAGTAAGGTTAGAGGATAGAAGAAACATCATGTTGTTACAAATTGGACTATTGAGTCAGGAAAAAAAAGATCGCTTTCAATATCTGAATAAAACAAAGATTTAATATTTTCTAAACCTTAATGAGTTTATTGTAAGGGATATGACACTGGAAACTAGAATTTTTTACTAAACTGCGGATCAGAGAATTATTCATATTTTCAGCAACGGTACCACCTGAGAGACATCTGATCTTGATTACATACCTTTATTTCTTTAACTGATCAACATACTAAATAGAAAACCTATGGCTCTGTTTTTAATCCACTTTAAATTCTGTTGTATTAGCACGGTTAGCTTTTCTAATTGGCAATAAGATTGAGACTATCTTTTTTTTTTTTTTTTTGACACAGACTTTTGCTCTGTCGCCCAGGCTGGGGTGCAGTGGCACAATCTCAGTTAACTTCAACCTCCTCCTCCCGGGTTCTAGCGATTCTCCTGCCTCAGCCTCCCCAGTAACTATGATTACAGGCACACCACCACGCCTGGTTAATTTTTTTTTTTTTTTTCTTTTTTGAGACGGTTTAGTAGAGATGGGGTTTCGCCATGGTGGCCAAGCTGGTCTCGAACTCAGGTGATCCAGCTCAGCCTCCCAAAGTGATGGCATTACAGGCATGAGCCACTGTGCCCAGAAAAGACTATCTTATTTTATGAATTTAAATAACTGTGCAATTATCCACTTCAGGGAATTAATTAATTATAATATAATCTTAAATTTTAGTTGGCTTACATAAAGGCTTAAAATACATCAATTTAAATAAAAATTCATTTGTCTAAAAAAATTAAAAATTTTCCTTGTGCTTTAAATGTGCTACCTGTTTAAGTTGTAACTCAGAGAAAAGAAGTTTAACTGTGAGTTTTATTAGTGTTCTTAGTTAACAGGTTAAAGTATTTTTTTAAAAAAAAATACTTCACAATTTTTACATAACTTAAAAATGTTAATACCTTTTTTATTAGGTATGTTCTTTTATAGGGAAAATATATAATATATCTAATCAAGATTATTTTTTGGACAAATTGGCTTAATAATTTCATTTTAAAAATGGCTTCTTATCATAATGTAAAAATAATATTAGTATAATATTATAGTATACACAAGTTTAGGGTTTATTTTCTAAAAAACAAAAACTAATTTAATTTGAGTGTACTATATTTCTTCCACTAGCTGTACTGGTGAGATGAGTTAACATCACTTTATTTATAATTTTAAAATTGTAAATTATTCATTGAACCAAATTAAATCATAATAGATAATGTCATTTGAAAAAATGGAATTAAATTTTATGTTACTAATTATAAGGATTCAATGTGTGAGCTTAAGTACTGAATTCACAATGTATGATAACTTTAAGAATTTAGATGAATATTATTAAATAGTGTAAATTAATGCTTAATCTTTGGATACCTGGACAATTTCTAAATTGGAGGGTACAAAATACAAATCACAAAAACCTGTGTAGTTTATGCAAATAACATTTTTACACAGTTTTGAATAACCATTGATAAACAGATAAGAGAACATACGATAGCCTTAGAATAGATACTCTTGCTTTTGCCACTTTAGATTTGTAAATCACGTACTGTATACCTGTGGGCCTAGAGGACCATGCAGGTTTTGGATGACTGCCTCTGTTTTCTTCATGCCTATGAGGGAATACAATTGCCTGCTTTATTTAAGGGCTATGGTTAATCCAAACAGCTCTGACTCTACCAAGCACTGTAGCTACAGAGAAACACAAGTAAGCATTCAAGATAATGACTACCTTGAGCCTTTACTTATTTAAAAAGTTGTTACTGTTTGTTAATGTGGTACATTCAATTTACTGTGGATTGTCACTCTAAAATAAGACTTCAATCTTTTTCTTATTTTTATATAGCCATGATTTATATTCATATCTTAATGTAATAGCCAATCTTCTCTGACAACATTATAACAATGCTGGAACCTCCATTTTCAGTACTTCAAACAACAAATACTGCTTTTATACTTCAGAGCAGATGGATATGTGCTTCCCAGTGTAAACCCATTTGGAATCCCACTGAGATATACACTGTCACTGAAAATACAGTTCTGAAATTCATTAAAAGACCTCCAGAATTCTGGAAGTGGGAAGTTTCCTCTTCAAAGTCTACAGATGAAGATTAGGTCTGAAAGAGATAGCTTCTTCCTTCTTTTACCTGTGGTATTATTCTGTTTTGTCCTTTTCTCCATTATCTGTCTTACCAGTTATTAAATTTTGATCTGGCCCTCCCACGTATTAAAAAACAAAGAAATAAACAAATCTCAGTTATATTTTACTATGAGAATGGCATGCTAACTTTTTGCAGGTTTGTAACAAGGACCTTTATACCTTGACTAAGAGTTCCTAAACAAGAATGTTTACTAGATAATTTATTTAAGAATGTTTACTAGATAATTTATTTCTGCGTATGGCCCACATTTGAGTCAAAAAAATCAATTAGGAAAAATGAACTTGTTTAATTAAAGTTGACCAAACTGATCTCTGAGACCTATTCATCTAACTAAGACAAGCCAATTAAATTCTTGGAGACAATTTGGACTTTAAGGAATTCTTATAATATTTGCAATTACCCTCATAACTTTTTTTTTGCCCTACTTCTCTGCTTCTCTAATATGCAAATGATTAAATGATGTTACAAAGCCACTGTCAATAAATAAATACATACATAAATAAACAATCTCACATGGTTATACTTGCTCCTTTTTGAGCTATTATTACCAAGAATGGAGGAGTTGAAAAACTCTGGTACCAGAAATCATGAAGACATGGCCTACCTAACATGGAAATGTTGATTGTCAGTGGAAAATATTACACAGAGATAGCCACAGTGCTGCACAGCCAATCTTGTGTTTCTAGAGAATCAGTAATTGTTTTCTTTTAACAGTATTGGTTTATATAAGAAGAGACTATCCATACTAAACTCTTTTCTACTGAAAATAATGGGCAAACATAACATCCTATTCCTAGACAGTTTGGTGCTTTTTTCTCACATTTCTATTTTATAAACCATCTTTTTAAAATACTTTGTTGAGTGAGATCAGTCCATTGCTTGATATACCCTGTGCACAAGTAAATAGTATGCCAATAATTAAATGTCTTTGAGTCACAGTTTAACAAACTCAACTACCCTGAGCCTATAGAGTGGTAATAATTGCCCTACTCATAAAGATGAGGTGAGGATTAAATGAAATAGCAACTATAGAACACTAGTTCTGGACATGCTATCATGTTACTAAAATGGCTGCACAGCATTGCTCAATGATGACAAAAAGTGAAGCCTTTGGAGACAAACTCCAAGTTTGACTCCCAGATCACCACATATCAGCTGTGGGACTCTGAGGCAGGTCATTTAATCTCTCTGTGCATTAGTATCCTTCTCTATACATTATGGGTGATGGTAATGGCACCTACTTTCTAGAAATATGTGAGGATTAAAGATCCTTAATGCATATAAACCACTGTGTTTACTGCTGTTTGACAAATTTTATTTATAACCATCTTGATACTCCTAAAAGGACTTGAAGCAGCTTATGACTGATAACTTTGGTAGGAGTTGGCCTTCTATACATTATAAGAATTTCATAAGTTATTTGATATAAAAATGCCAGTTGATCATAATATGTTTACCTGGGTCCAACATGTTGAGAAAAAATACACTTTTTTTTCCCCGCTTATATGAAATTAGCTCTCTAGGCATATTCCTAAGGACTTAAATCCTTCAAGGTTAGATCAAATGGAACCTTAGGACAATGACTAGGTTATGTTCATCTTTTAAGAGCATACAGAAATTCAAGAGCTAGAGGGTGTGGCTTTACTGCACAGGCTCACTATCCAACAGCTCTGCTACCTGGGAAACTTAACCTCTCTGTGACTTAATTTCCTCATCTATAACACAAGGAGAATGACAGTAGGTGTCTCATAAGGTTGTTGTAATAACTAAATGCCTTGGTATCTATTATGTGAAGTGCCTAAAACACTGCCTGGCAGAGAGCAAACATCCAATGAACTTTAGCCATCATCATTATCATTGTTTTCAGAGTCAAATGTAATATCTCATATCTGATAAATTACAGAAGTGAATCAATCACTCTCTCTCTTTTCTCCAGGGGAGACAACAGCTTTTAGACACATCTTTTCCAACAGTCGTCACTGCTGGACACTGTTTCATCTTGCAAATAAACCAATGAGAATGAGTGATCCTAAAAGAAGATAAATGGAGGTATTTTGAACAATCAAAAAAAGACCAATGAACACCTGGCTAAGAAAAATTAGCTTGTTTTTTTCTATGTATAAAACTATTAAAATGTTCTTCATAGACATTTATGAAATGAGAAACATAAAGACAAAATTAAAATAACTCCTAGTATCTCCTATTCTTTTTATATGTATAGCATATATGTTCATATTCATATATATTTATATCTCACATCATGTATCATATATAAAATAAATTTAGATGCATATGATATATATATTTAGATAAATATACTTAGAAACATTTTTTATGGATGTATAATTTATGGATACACTGATAATTATGTATTCGTTATTGACTATGTTAATTGATTCCCATTTTATGCATTATAGATTGTAAAGCTCACACATCTTTCTACATAAATCTTTGTTCAAATATTATTTCCTAAAGATAGACTTCATGAAGTGGAAATACTAAATCAAAGGTGAAAAACATTTTCTAAGGTTCTTAACATGTACAGTGCCAAATTGCTATCAGCATCATGCCAATTTATAATCCCACCATAATATGGAAATTCCTGTTTTATAGCACTCATATTTACAATAGATTTTTAAAAGCATTGTTAACCTAATAGGCCCCCAAAAAGAAAAAAAATTGAAATTATATTTCTTTATTTTAATGACTTTATTAGTGAGGGTCATTTTTCCCATATTTCTTGTTAGCCATGACCCTATTAGAAATAAACTGTGCTACAAAATAATAAACATGATATCAATCATTCCATGGGAAGGCACTATATAAAGAATAATACCTTAGGTTAAGGCCAAATAAATAATATTTATCAGGTGCTTCTTCTGCGGAGGACTCTGAAGGGATACTAAACTGCACTTAGCTGCATGCAACTGAAACTACTGTTACCTACATTGTCTCTTATAAACATTATAACTACTCTTTGAGAAAGTGTTTACTATGGACTAAATTGTCTCCCCATCCCCCCAAATTCGTATATTGAAGCCGTAAGCCCCAATATGACTCTATTCCTAGACAGGACTTATAAGAGGTAATTAAGGTTAAATGAGGTTATTAGGATGTGTTCCTAACTGGACAGGATTGGTGGCCTTATAAGAAGAGGAAGATTCTGTACGTGGTCTTCCAAATTAAATTATTTTTTTTAAAAAAGAGAAAGAGAGCTCTGCACACATACTGAGAAAAGGCTATGTGAGCTCACTGTGAGAAGGTAGCACTCTACAAGCCAGCAAGAGAGCCCTCACCAGAATCCAGCCATGCTATACTCTGCTCTGAGACTTCCAGCTTCCAGAACTGTGATAAAATTTTGTTGTTTAAACCACACAATCTATGGTATTTTGTTCTGGCAGCCCAAGCCAACTAAGACAGCATCATTGCTGTCACTTACAGACAAGAAAACTAAGAGTAGGAGAGATAAAAGTTAAACTTGTCCAAGGTCACAAAGGCCAGAAACAAGTGAGGTGAGAAGTTGACCTTGTTCTCCTCAATCTCAGGTCAGGACTCCTCAACTCCACATGTAGATAGCCACCTCACAGTCAACAGCCAAATGTCCCCAGAGTCAGCATTAGACCAAGATGTCTCACCAGGAGAGAAATGCCTCATCTTGAATAAATATATTCTAACAACTTACCCATGTAAAACATTGAACCTCATGAAAAACAAAAATGCAAAGTATGTACAAAACTGTTTACCACTTAACTGACAGTGATATAAAGCTTAATGATATCCTTATAGTCTTGGAGGGGTTTGTATGTGTTGAAACAGGTGCTCATGCACTGCTGATAGACTGTAAATTGGTCCTAGAGAGAAAAATAAATAAACTGGAAGGAGATATGCTGTATGCTTACTTTTTTTTAATGGAAAGATATGAGATATACCTGGAAATTTGATTGGCCATGCATCTATTTCTTCAATGGGTATGCACAGTTGAGCTGTTCCCATGTACCAGGCACTGTAATGGGACAATTGCACATGACAGACAAAAATTTTAGCCTTATGAAGTCGACATGCTCATGGAGAGGTGCCACCCACTAAACTAATATTTATATATCAATTATGGATACATTGGGCCACATTTTACAGAAATTCACTTCAGTGGATTAGCCAGAAAGGGATTTGTTTTCTCGATTGGCAAGAAGGCTAGGGTGGTTTGTTGGGGGCTTTCAGGAGCTGTCTAGGCTTCCCAAGTATGCAGGTCTCTTCTATCATCCTGTGTTAGCTATCTTCCATATAGCTTTCAACCTCATGGTCATCTGCAGCATGTCTAGGGGTCATATCTATGTTCCATGCAGGAAAAAAGGCTAAAGGCAAAGGGAAGTAGGCATGTACCATCTTAATTCACACCTTGGTTTTCAGAAAATTTAAGAAGAAAGACTTTCTGCTTTTTTCTGACTATTCTGTATTCTGGATTACAATGCAACAGAAACATCACCCTAAATTCTAATGTTTTTCTCTCCTTGCTTTTGAAAACTGACTCACTAGCCTCCAAGTGGCTTGGAAAAATTATTTCAGTCATCCAGTAATGAGCTGTTCATAGAAATGTTTTGGACATCAGTCTGTGTTGTTAGCATTATACATGTTAAGCATAGATTTAAAAAACAACATGATGTGGGTACATTTCTTTACTTACATATAAGTGCTTATATACTTAGAGCTGAAAAGAGAGGTTGAAATGTCAGGTGGAACAGAAATAAGATTACCTAGATGTTTCCCCTATGGGTGATTTTCAGCTATGTTAATCTTTCTTCCAGGCCAGGTACTTCCAGAACTTCCTAATTAAATGGTGGCCTTGATGTTAGTTCCCCTCTCAGACATTTTCCAGGACTACAGAAGATGTGCAGTTTATAAATGAGCAGCAGAAACCTACTGAGCAAATTATTCAGGTTCATCTGAACAGAGAGGACACCCTCTTTGCTATACTCTCTCAGTGATTTCAAGACACCCTGCCTTGAAATCCTGGGTCAATAATTGTCTTGGACATTGATTTAAGCACAAAATAATTGTTGTCATTGCTTATGTTTGGATTTTATCTCCCAAAATAGATAAATTCTTTAGAGACCAAATAATACTTTTAAAAAAAATTTTTTATTGTTTTTGTTTCTGTGTCTCTCAGCCCTGTAATAGCATCATACTTGCACTTTGTAGATTTTTAGAGACAACTTTTACAAAACATGGAATTATCTACATACCCTTTCTACAAAACAGACAAATTAAATACTCAGTAGTTGAACAAAAAAAAGCAGTTCAAATAAAATACTTTGAAAATGAAGAAATCATTTGAACAGAGAGTTAAGGTTAATGGTAAAATAATGTGTGAAAATTATTGCGAATCAAATATGAAGTTCAAAAATAGTTCTTGAAAAAGGAAGAATCGTATGAAAAGGGAGTACTTGTTTTAAAAATGTTAGATATCAGGAAAAGCCAAGAAGTGAGTATGGTATAAGAGTGCTGTCAAGTGAAATCCTGCTGATCTCACTGAACATGTAAAAATCTGTAGATGCTTTTATTTTATTCACTCTCATACATACGTAGAAAGAGAAATATATGGTAAACATTAAAAAAAAACTAGAATGTAAAATTAATACTTTAAAAAATGGGCTGTATACTTTTCTTGTCACCAGAGATAAGAATTTATTATTTTCAAAAGAGAATAGTTATTTGCTTTGTGACTGTTTCCATGACTTTGCTACTTAGAAGTTAGAGATGCCAAAGTTTATCTAAGAAAATGTTTATGGAAGTATGATTTCAATAATGAATGTTTAGAAGACTGAATTTCCTGACTGGGCACAGTGGCTTATGCCTGTAGTCCCAGCACTTTGAGAGGATGAAGAAAGAGGATTGCTTGAGTCCAGGAATTCAAGACCAGCCTGGGCAACACAGCGAGGGCAAGTCATGTGACATTCCTGTGCCTCAGTTTTTTCACCTATAAACTGAATTCCTACAGTTTTGGGGGAGGGGAGAAAAACTTAGGATAGTGACTGGTACAGGAGAAGCACTATATACAATATATATGTGGATATCGTTTGTTTTTATGGTACCTTTTTAGCTATCTAATGCAAAGTATGAATCATTTTTTTCTGGGTCTTAAATTACAGAATGTAAGAATTTTCTAAATTCTCTAATTCTGTGTTAGTTTTAAAGCAATGGAGTAACATATCTGTCAACTTGTAAATATGGATCAACCTGATCCACAATTTGACCCCTAGCCACTAATATTTACTGGTACAACACTCAGGAAATATCAAAGGTCAGAGAAGCCAAACAAATGTAAAAACATACAGGTGCTCAGAAATATATACCTGTAATCTCTCTAAAGAGAAATATTTTCCAAACTGAGTGACACAGTGCTTTAGTGAGTTGTGAAATCAATCTCATGATTTCCAAGCCAGTGTTCTTTTAAAAATGAACTAGTCCACAATAGAATATACTAAAGTGCTGGTGTTTTCCAAAAAAAAATTTTTTTTTTTTTTGAGACAGGGTCTCACTTTGTTGCCGTGGCTAAAGTGCAGTGGCACGATCATGCTCACTGCAGCCTTGACCTTCTGGGCCCAAGTGATTCTCCCACCTCAGCCTTTTGAATAACTGGGATCACAGGTACATGCCACCACACCCGGGTAATTTTTTAATTGTAGAGGTAGGGTCTTGCTATGTTGCTTAGGCTGGCCTTGAACTCCTGGGCTCTAGTGATTCACTAGCCTCAGCCTCCCAAATTTATGGGATTATAGGTGTGAGTCACCTTACCTGGTCTGTTTCCTGAATTTTTTTTTTTTTCCGGTGTTTATGCATATGTGTGTTTGTATGGGTATAACAGAGAGAGAGAAAGAAAGAAACTTTTCTACCTCACTTTGCAATCAGAAGTTTGAAGTCTTATCTTTTGGCTTTTGTTTCAGAAATATTTCAAATGTAGACTCTCTCCTTTACCACACTGTCCCCTTAGGCAAGGTCTTTGCCATGTTTCTGAGACTATTGCAACAGACTCCCAACCTCTGACTGTGGGCCCTTCTCAATAATGATTGTTTATGTAATAAATCTAAACCCAAGACAACTACAACGATACAACAAATTATGTGCTTAAAAACTTCCAATGTCGGCCGGGTGTGGTGGCTCAGGCCTGTAATCCCAGCACTTTAGAGGCAGAGGCGGGCAGATCACCTGAGGTGGGGAGTTCGAGACTAGCCTGGCCAACATGATGAAACCCCATCTCTACTAAAAATACAAAAAATTAGCCAGACGTGGTGGTGGGCGCCTATAATCCCAGCTAATTGGGAGGCTGAGGCAGGAGAATTGCCTGAACCTGGGAGGTGGAGGTTGAACTGAGCCGAGATCACACCACTGCACTCCAGCCTGGGCAACAAGAGCAAAACTCTGTCTCAAAAGAAAAGAAAACAAAACAAAACAAAACAAACTTCCAGTGTCTACCAAATGTCTCACACAAGTATTTGGGGATCTTCACAAAACGGCCCTTATGGAGTTTTCCTTTGCTGAGACCCTAGGCTGTGACCACAGTAAACTCACTCAGCATCCCAGAAAGGCCTTGGCCTTTGTGAGCAATCTCTTATCTCCAGGCCTCTCACAAAGACCTGTTCCAGTAGAAGCTCAGGGGAGCATAGTGAACATTATTCTAACAACCCTTTCCCCACAGCTATGCAGCCAAATCTGCCAGCTCAGTTAATTAATTAATTAATTAAGCAATTCAGAGATGGAGGTCTGCCCAGGCTGGACTACAGTAGCTGCAACTTCAAACTCCTGGGCTCTAAGTGATCCTCTTCAGTCTACCCAGAAGCTGGGACTGCAGGCATGTGCCACCACACCCAGCTAATTTTTTTTTTTTTTTTTTTTTTTTTTTCTGGTAGGGACCAGGCCAACTTAGTCTTGAACTCCTGGCCTCCAGCCTCTGGAAGTGCTGGGATTATAGGCATGAACCACTACACCCAGCCAACCTGCCCAGTCTTGTTAGACATGGGGTCTGTAGTTTCCAGTAGGTTCTTGAGTCTAGGGTTCCTACTTCATGTTTTATAGTTAATTTAGGGGAGGGGCTGTGTTGGTTTATCTGGGGAGGTAGGGGTGGGCAGGGGGATAGAGGGGACTTCAATTAATGAAACCATAAGCAAAACTCAGTTGAGGACACCGGTCATGAGAGTGGCCTGATTATGGCCAATCTTACGTAATGTGTGAGATCTTGATATTACCCCATCCTTGAGAGTTCTCTATAAAGCTACAGGGACTTGGGAGCACCTTTAATCACAGACAACCCATGTTCCTGTGGATTATGGTTTATTAGATTGCACATGCCTAAATAAAGACATCCTCTGCAGTCTTTTGAAAATTCTATAAGCATTTTGTGACTCTGCAATTAGACAACTAAGAGATCTGTGTTACTTCCATCACATATATAAATAATTTTAAATAAAAATCATGACGTGAATAATTTATGTCCTCTACCGACTTGAAGCTATTCATTTGGAAGACCACTCTGAAGAGATGAAATAAGTCTTCTGCCAAAAATTACTTATTAATTTACAAGGGAAAGGGGAAGTTTTGTTCCTCTCCTTGATTTGACTGAAAATCGAGGGCTTTCTCGAATAGTTTTGGCATCCAGGGTCATTTTTCATTAAAAAGCGAAAAGTCATGTGAAATATGAATCTCCCCAGGTCATTCAGCACTAGACCCTGGGAGATTCTGTACAGAGGGGGTTTGTTATAGTCAACTTTTCCCGGTAAAACAAACACAAATACTCCTCCTCCAAGGGGCGGGGGCGGTGCCTGGGTGATGCACCAATCACAGCGCGCCCTACCCTATATAAGGCTCCGCGGCCCCGCGGCGTTTTATGCTTTTCGCTGG